ATTATTTTATCACTCCATGGATATAGAATACCTACAAACCAAATAAGAAATAAGAATAATAAGTGTTTTACTCCAAGTGTCCACAGTCCATCAGAGCCATTTTTAACTATTTGCTATTCCTATACATATTCCAAAAATGTAAAGAGCTATAAAATCTATAATAATTTGAAATTTATCATAAATTTAATACTTACTATTTTTAAAACCTTGATTTGATATATAGAATTTAAAATATATTCTAGTTTTCTACCTTGCTTGCCTTAGAATGAACATAAATTATTTCATGGTAGGGGAACAATTCCTATTACCAGCTGAAGTCTTTTTTTCATATATTTTATTGATGTATTATAAATATATATAATAGTGGCATTTGTTACATATTTGTACATGCATACACATAGCAATATAATTTGGTCGGGATCATTTGTTAATAACTCCCTTTTTCCTCCTCATCTCCCTCCTCCTGGTCCCTTTTCTCTACTGGTCTTCCTTCTGTTTTTATGAGCTCCCTACACATTATTTTTTCCCTGACTTCCACATATGAGAGAAAACATGACCCTTGACTTTTTGCATTTGACTTATTTCATTTAACATTATACTCTCAAGTTCTATCCATTTTCCTGAAAATTACATAATTTCATTCTTTTTTATGGCTGAGTGAAACTTTGTATTTTATATATAAATATAAAATGTACCTACTAAAATGTAGTGTAAATGTATACCATGTTTTCTTTGTCCATTCATCTGCTGATGGACACCTAGGCTGGTTTCATAGTTTGTCTATTGGGATTTGTGCTGCTATAAACATGGGTATGCATATATCATTAAAGTGTGATTTAATTCTGTAGGCTAAATACTGATGAGTTACAGTACAGCTGGGCCATATGGTGGTTCCATGCCTAATCTTGAGGAGTCTGTGTACTAATTTTCATAGTAGTTGCACTAATTTATAACCTCACTAACAATGTAAAGTGTTCCGTTTTTCCCACATCCTGTCCATCAGCTAGAGACTTTTTTTTAAAAAGTCCACCTTTCTCCTGAGCACACACATGGTCTTCTCTTTGAGAGACATTGTTATAGTAAGCCATTATTTTATTGCCATTATTGCTCTGTAACCTCAGTTTAGAACAAAAAAAAAGGTTAAAGTCCAGTCATGAGATTATACAAACCATGTAGTTTAGAAGGATTCAAACCTCTTGGTGTCTTGCTGAGTCAAACAAAGTTTACAGAAATTTTACTATCTCCACCATTATTAGCCTAGACTCAGAGGACTGGGAAGCAGGTCAACTCTGCTAACTTCTCTGTGCTGGTCTAGGCTTAATAATAAAGTATAACACCAATATCTACAAAGTCCTTTGGTTAGTGTTTTCTGAAGAAAGTTGTTATATAAATTCAGAATAGTGAAAAGATTTTCTTGAGGTGTTGCAATAAAATGTAATTAACAGTGATGAAATCTTAAACCTTCCTCTCGATACTCACTTACCTGAAGGTATAATACAAGTAAGGCTTGTAAGAATCCACTGTGGAAAATGGATCAGACCCGGAATTAGGCTGGTATTCCTGAGTAGCCTGAGACCACGAAGTCTGGACTAAATGATTTGAATCCAGTCACAGGCTGTATTTTTCACCATTTAGACTGGATGATAGGACTGAGGATGTAGCTCAGTGATAGAGCACTTGCCAAGCAGGTACAAAACCCTGTTTTCAATCCCTAGTTCCAAAAGAAGAAAAAGTTGGGTCATGTATAGAGATAATTATATTCATCCATTATGTTTTATTTTCTGTTGTTCTGTATAGAATTATTGTTTTTCATTAACAAGCTTTCAGTGATCAGTTTTTATACTAGGTGTTGCCGGAACCCTTTTCAGACACAGTCCCTTCTTTCCTATTGAAGTTCAAAAAATTTTTGGTCATGATTTAAATAAAGTGTTAAAAGCTCACAACAATCATGTAGACTGACTTCTAGGATGTGGTTTTAAACTGACATTATCCCCTAAGTTTAAGCTTATTTATTTTAATTTGTTTAAATTGCAGGTTCTAAATTAGTTCCATTTTGGAGCTGGCTACAAATGGGCAAGGACCTACTTTTTATACGACTTCGTTATTTGACTGGTGCCTGGAGGCTTGAGCAAACTAGGAAAGTGAATTAGATTGTTTGAGATCTTTGATTCTTATGTATCAGTGTCACATTATTTCAATTGAAATTAAATTTTAAATAAAGCTGTGATAGACCTGTTGTCATTGTCTGGCTTTGGGTAATTTTAAAGAACTACCATACATAAAATTTATACTTTGGGACAGAAATTTAAAAAAAAAAAAAAGGTTTGAATCAAAAGTCAGATTTTCTTTTCCTCTAACATTTTTTTAAATATAGTCTACTAGTCATTATAATTTTGAGAAATGTAATTTTAAGAAGACAGAAGCAATGATTCTTACTCTGATGTGCCTACATAATTCTCATGAACTTAAATATAAATCACATTCCTGTAACAGTTTTCGGTCATTTAAACATGAAGTTAGTATATGAGTCTAAATTTACACAAACTTAAGCATATCAGAGAAGCCTATATTTCAGCCCGTGAAAACTCTGAGAATTAATTATGTTAAAGGTAAGAAAATAGACTCAATTACCACTTAGGAAAGTAGCCACATCCTAAGACAATCTTAGTTCTCTTCCTCCCGATTTTATTTACATGTATTGTACTCACTGTCTCACCTTCTACACTCTTCCCTCTCGATTTCATGTGATGTAGAAATTCTGATTGAAAAGATAAAGATTTTAAAATATTAATAAATATATTTACTTAATGCCAGAAGCCTGTGTCATTGAGATATTATACGGCCTAGTAGCAATTATAAAATAATGAACCTCAAAAAAATCAGAATTAGATTATTTCTGACATCCTAGAGAAATAAGATGATAATAGTAATAATAATAATTACTATTATATGCCATAGTTTGGATTCGGAATGTACCCCAAGACCCAAGTATTGAGGGATTGGTCCCCAGCTTTCAGTGCTACTTCAAGGTTGTGGAGCCTTTAGGAGATAGGGCTTAGTGGAAGGCTGATAAGTACCTTGGAAGTTAAGTCATGGCCTTGAAGGGGATATTGTAACCTTGGCCCCTTTTCTCTCTGTGTTTCTCCCCTTCCCAGTTGCCATGAGGTGAACAATTTGCTCTACCATGCACTCCTGCCATAATGTGCTGTCCTGCCGCAGGCCCCAAAGCAACAGGGCAAACTAACCATGGACTGAAACAGCCAAAATGAACCTTTTTTTTCCTTTTAAGTGATTTATTGCATGCATCTGTTACAGCAACAGAAAGCTGATTAACATAATACCTAACATTTAAGGAGTGCTGACTGTATGCCAGCCACTGTTCTAAACACTTGGTATATAATGACTCATCTTAACAGAAGAAAAAGGCATAAGCAAGTATTTGCCCAAGGTCATAGTGGAGTCATAGTTCTAACACAAATAGTCTGGATCCAGAACCTACATTTGTTAATGATTATGTTATAACTTCAGTTTCAGAGGATATGAAAATCAGGGATTATATATGTATGAAGTTGCAGAATTGCATTAAACATTTTAATAGTAATTTGTAAGTGGGAGAATGACCCCAGTACTTTGAATACCCAATGATAATATCACAGCTATAGTAAACAATAAACTGAAAATAAAAGCCATTTCTCACATAAATTAATATCCCCAGCACAGTGCTTAGCATATATAAACAATAATGGGTAAATGAATAAACAAATTTTATTTACTACCAGATTTTGAGAACATTTAGTCACTTAAATGCACAAAATCAAGCTTATGCAAGTAGAAATAATAGAAAGCTAATATATGAAAGGCCATGAGCATTTATATGAATTTAAAGTATAAACCTTGAGCCCAAAATAACATATTCCAATGAACTGTAAGGTAATGAAATGATTAGTTATTGCTCTTTGTAAGCTAGTGATAACAATGCATATTTTGCAGCTTAATAAAGGGATATTGTAACCTTGGCCCCTTTTCTCTCTCTTTCTCCTCTTCCGAGTTGTCATGAGTTGAACAATTTGCTCTTCCATGCACTCCCGCCATAATGTTTTTTGGAGGAAAATGTCAATACTTTTTATGTAGTTCATCTGTGAGCACTATTAAAGGTTTCTGATACCTTTGATACCAACTTTTCTAAGCACAGATATGCTAACAGCATAGTACAGAACCTGACAGGAAAAAAAAATAGATTCATTTAATTTACAGAGCCTGCTAACAAAGATAATAAGCAGCAGTAGCAAAAGTGAAAATATCAGCTCCTGTCCTTTAATATGTGTTTATTTGACTTGATATCACATCTCATGTAGTTTTGTACTTCTACCATTTATAGTTGATTCTTCAGTCCTATTTTCCATTTTCTTTATTGAGTTGTAATTTCCTTAGGAGCAGAAACTTTGCTATTTATTTTATTTGTGTGTCTCCTTAGCATCCTAAATTGTGATTGCTCAATAAAGGTTTCCCAAATGGCTAAGTAATGCTAGCATTTCAATTCACTTGTCAAAAAATAATTATATGAATGAGGTTATTCATTTTATTGACAGCTAAATCTCCTGAAGGAATAGTCTAGTGGATAGCTTTGTTTTTATACGAATCTCAAAAGCAAAAAATCTACAATTAATAAATGTATTTTGTTAATCCAATAAGAGCAATTTGTAATTTACTGGTTTTGAAGTAAAATTCCAGTTAGTATTTTAAGGGTAATAAAGTCCAATACTTTCCTGGATTTGAGCCTATCTGGGTTCTGATAGGATTGAGGACAGAAAAAAGGACAAAAAAGAACAGCCATGGTCCTTACCTGAGTGCTATCACAACATACCTCAGAAATCCTCCTGAATGAATAGTTTTCTGTGTCCCTGACTCAAATTTCTACAGTAACAAGATGTATGTACATGGAGGACGGGTGAATGTCATTGCTGATAATTCTACCATCATCGCAGGAACAGTCAAATCAGGTCCCCAGAGTCTACAAAACATGTTGACTGCAAAACGTGTCCTCCTGTCTAGAGGTATGAGTTTATTCAAGTCCTCCAAAATAAAACTAGGCAAAGTAAAAGTTCTTGATGTAACAATACAATAGCCACCACTTATCTCCAAAAAATACGGGCCAGGACTCTACAAGATACCTGAAACTTGATAGTAGTTACAAATGCTGTTTTTTCCTGTACAAACATACCAATAGTAAAGTTTAATGTATAAATTGGGCACATAAAAGGTGAGCAATAATAAAATAGATCAATTATGACAATGGACTAATAAAATTTATATAAATATGCATTTTCTCAAAATAACTTCTTGTGATGTTGTGACCCATGGTTCATATTAACTGATTGATGGCAGAATGTGAAACTGTGAGGTTGGGGGACTACTATATTCACTGTCAAGTATGAATCATCCATTCTTTTTTTAATATTTATTTCTTAGTTTTCGGTGGACACAACATCTTTATTTTTATGTGGTGCTGAGGATCAAACCCAGTGCCCCTCACATGCCAGGCGAGCGCACTACCGTTTGAGCCACATCCCCAGCTCGAATCATCCATTCTTTTACATACCTAGTGAATACATACTGAGTGCCCAATAGCACTACATTTAAAAAGGTGTCTACCTTTACATAGTCTTAGAAAGAAAAGAAAATGTTAAGCATTTAAATAGCAATGCAAGTTCCTGTATATCAGCAACAAAACTTCTGAAATGGAAATGAGGAAAACCACTCCATTCACAATATCCTCAAAGAAAATAAGATACTTTGGAATCAACCTAACAAAAGAGGTGAAAGATTTATACAATGAAAACTACAGAACCCTAAAGAGAGAG